GAGAGAGAGAGAGAGAGAGAGAGAGAGAGAGAGAGAGAGAGAGAGAGAGAGAGAGAGAGAGAGAGAGAGAGAAAACACCATCCAGCATCATGGTTCATATAAGCTGGTTGGCCAAAAAGTCCTATAAATAAATAAACAAACAAATAAGATATTGAAGATATCTTGAATAATGAAGTCTGATCATTTTCTACTGTGTGAACCTTTATTTTTGTTCTTTGATTTTATATCCTTGATAAATTAATTTCAAATTGAAATCAGATATATATGTAGAAACAAACTGGGAGGTATATTATTCATATCTCTCTTTGGATAAGAATAACCTGCAATTACAGTAATGAGTTGGTTTTTTGCCCATAATAATAGACCAAGAAACAAAAGTTCTTCTTTGTACATATTTCCTAAACCACTAGTATAAGGCATTCAGTTCTTATTATGTTCTATTCCCTCTCTGTAGAAGGAAAGGATATAATTCTTTCATGATTACTAAAGAAGAGAATTGTGCATGTCTATTTCACAATAGCAATGCATGTTTCAGTATAGTTATCATTTATATTATTGTTTTATATATGCTGCCAGGCTCAAGGCAGCATATATTTAGTTTTAAAGGTATAGCCATGTGAGACAGGGTTGGTCTGTCTCTAACAAAGTAATTGATCTAAGGACATCTCTGAGAGTTTATCCTGTGTTTCCAATACCTTAACTATACTACACTATGCTACACTAAGCAACCTTTTCCCCCATCAGGCATCAAATTTTCTCACAGCTAGTCTATGATTACATGATGGGTAGGGCTAGAGTCAAAAATGGGTGAAAGAACTGCAATTTCTTACTTGAAACATCATTTCCCCTCTTTTTGTCACTCTCATCTCTTTTTCCCAAGCAGCAGGCTTCAGGTAACAGAGAGATAACTTTTTATCAGAAGTCTGAAGTGATTTCTTATACAGTGGTACCTTGGGTTACGAACGCCTCTGTTAATGAACTTTTCGGGTTACGACCAGCTCTGGCTGCAAAAATTTACCTTGGTTTGCGAACTCGGCCTCGGGTTATGAACCGGATCCATGGCCATTTTCCCTCCCGTGACACGGTCCACGGCCATTTTTCCGCCCGACACGTGGTCCGCGGCCATTTTTCCCCCCCGTCACATGGTCCACGGCCATTTTTCCGCCCCGACACGTGGTCTGTGGCCATTTTTCCCCCCCGTCACATGGTCCACGGCCA